GAATCACTAAAGCCAGCTCCCAGACAAGGTGCCCTGCCAGTTACCAAATCTGTTGACAATGCATTTGAGAACCCTTTCTCTAAAGATTCTTTCAGTTCATCACAAGCCCCTGTAAGTGTCAGCTACTAAAGTCGTTGCTCCAAAGTGTGTGCCATATAGCTCTACTGCCTCCTGAATTAACCTTACTTTTGTAATAACTTTTTGTATTTATTTATTTTTATTTTATTTTACTTATTTATGATTATTTATTTATTTTGGAGACAGAGTCTCACTCAGTTGCCCCTGGGGTTGAGTCCTATGGTATCATAGCTCACAGCACCCTCAAATTCTTGGGTTCAAGTGATTCTCTTGTCTCAGCCTCCCCAGTAGCTGGGACTACAGGCACAACACAACCCCCGGCTATTTTTTAGAGATAGGTCTCGCTTTTGCTCAGTCTAGTCTCAAACTCCTGAGCTCAAGCAATCTGCCCACCTCAGCCTGCTAGAGTGCTAGGATTACAGGCGTGAGCCACCTCCCCTGCCCTTGTAAGAACTTTTTGATAGTAAAGTGTGTTTGACTAAGATGTATCATTGAGAACTTTTGCAGTATAAATATTCATTTAAACTAGGAGAGTATTATTATTATTTTGACACAGTCTCAAGCTGTCGCCTTCAGTAATGTGCTGTCACATCATAGCTCATAGCAACCTCAAACTCTTGGGCTTAAGCGATCCTCTTGCCTCAGTCTCCCAAGTAGCTGGGACTACAGGCGCCCTCCACAATACCTATTTTTTTTATTGCAGCTGTCATTGTTGATTTTAGCTGGCCCAGGCTGGGTTCAAATCTGCCAGCCCCGGTGTATGCAGCCAGCACCCTACCCACAGAGCTACGGGTGCTGCCAGAAGAGGATTATTTTTAAAGAAACTACTGTCTTCTGAATTTGAAAAATAATATCATGCAGAGAATGTCCTTCAGATATCACTGTAACTAGCTTGTGAAAGTATTCTGGGAGAAAACTGAGTCAAAATACTATCTTATAAAACCTTACAAATATTTAAGTTCTTAATTTTCTACCCATGGTTTTCTACCTCATAGAAATACTTCCTACCAGGGAAGGCAAATGTAATTAACTTGAACTTGATTTTGATGTAAATAATATACATCACTATCCACAAGCAGGTAGACACAAATTATTGTAGACCCATACAGTGTCTGATTAGCCTATGACCTATGTGATTTTTAAAGGAATTTGGGAAGTCTTCATTTATAAGATTTTTTTTTTATGACTAAAATTATATGGTTTTATCTTCTTAGATGGCTTCTCAATCTACATCTCCTGATATGTATAGGGATCCTTTTGGAAATCCTTTTGCCTAACATCTGTAAGTAGATCATATTATGTCTATCTTGGGGGGTTTTGGTGGGAAAAGGTGACACAGATAAAAGGGTGATATCTTGAGTTAAAAATTTGGAAGAGGGTATAAATGTAGGAGCAATAGAAATAGAAATTTATGCTTAGCTAATTCAATAATAACTAGACTGGAAACTTAAGAATAGAATTCTTAAGCATATCAAAAAATAGTAACATACTCCCAGGGATATGGATTTCTACTTTATCCTATGGTTTTGATTTTTCACTGTGTATGGTCGTAAACTCAACATATAAGAGCTTTATACCTATTTTACCTTCATCTTGAAGCTATTGCAAAATGTCCTATTAATAACTTGGTTTCCTATTTAAAAAGACCTTTCAAAACCACCACACAACACAGCTAAACAGATGATGATCACAACTCTTTTTCCATTTCTTTGTGAGCAATTTCAGTTAAAGTTAGTCTGAAATACTTTGACAATATGAACCTAAAAGGTTTTGGGTTTTTTTTTTTTTTTTTTTTTTTTGGAGACAGAGTCTCACTATGTCACCCTCTATAGAGTACTATGGAGTCACAGCTCACAGCAAAGTCCAGCTCTTGGGCTTAAGCGATTCTCTTGCCTCAGCTAAAGTCCCAAAGTAGCTGGGACCACAGGCGCCCACCACAACACCCGGCTATTTTTCTATTGCAGTTGTCATTGGTGCTTAGCTGGCCTGGGCTGGGTTCAAACCCGCCAGCCTCGGTGTATGTGGCTGGCACCGTAACCACTGTACTCCGGGCACTGAGCCAACCTAAAGTTTTAACAGGTCTTCAGTATCTCCTTCATTAATAGTAAAAGTTTAAAATGAGTCCAAAGGCTGACTCTTCTTTCTCCAGTAGACTTTATCCTCAGTAAGTTACTAGGCATGACCACCTTCAACTGAAACCCTGTGAGGGTGCAGTGCAACCCTTTCTTTCTCAACAGCAAGTGGTTACAACTTATTTTTGATCTTAAAAGATGAAAAGGTAGGGAAAAGGAAGCTCATCTCTGTTTTAGAGAACGTAGAGTACAGTTAGTAAGGGTAAAACAATGGAAGGATGGAAAAAAACCCAAACCCATTTTGTTCAGTCTTGCTCTTCTGAGCAGGACTACTTAACTGGGTCTTGGCCCACCTAGAATTTAATTATTTTAAATAGATAAATATTTTAAATCTAGCATCAACCATAAGATTTTTTTTGACAGAGTCTCACTCTGTCACCCCAGCTAGAGTGCAGTGGTGTCATCATAGCAAGCTGTAACCTCAATCTTCTGGTCTCAAGTGATCCTCCTGCTTCAGCCTCCCAAGTAGCTGGGACTACGGGTGCCTGCCACCACACCTGGCTGATTTTTCTATTTTTAGTAGAAATGGGGACTTGCTTTTGCTCAGGCAGGTCTTAAACTCCTGTTCTCAAGTGATCCTCTTGCCTCTGCCTCCCAGAGTGCTAGGATTACAGGAGCAAGCCACCGTGCCCATGGATCAAATTTCCATGCATTCGGATCCTTCTCTCTCACCCCAGGTCTACAGTGTTTCTTACAGTATATTCCCGTAAATTCAGCTCTAGAGAATGGGGCAAACTGTTAAAAATGCAAATTCCTGGGCCCTACCTGGACCTAAGTTTTTTTTTTTTTTGGCTGACAAAAAGCTTCCTTTTAATAAGAGTCCAAAGGATTCTAATGGCGATAAAGAAGCATCGTAGATACTGAATAGCTAGAAGCCTGACCAGAGACTCATTCTAACTCTCCACTCAAGGGAAGGCATACCCAGACAGAAGAGAGTAACTACCCTGGAGTCAAGAAAAGACTAAACTGAATTAACGAGATTTTTCTCTGGGAGCCCTTTCTTCTTTAGGTCATAAAGGAAGGACAGATAGGTCAGCCTGTAAAATGAATACACTGGGGGGAGGGGAGAATTATCAATGGGAGAAAATAGCTGACATTATTAAGCACTTGCCTTAATCTCTTTATTCTATGCTCTACATTTATTACATTATTTAGTCCTCCAGTGAGCCCTAGGAGATACTATTAGTGATATTTTTTAATAACAACTTGATACTTAATACATTGGTTTTCTTTTTTCTGTCACCCTCAGTAGAGTGCTATGGTGTCATAGCTCACAGCAACCTCAAACTCTTGGGCTCAAGTGATCCTCTTGCCTCAGCCACCCAAGTAGCTGGGACTAAGGCACTGGCCACAACACCTGGCTATTTTATAGACAGGGTCTCCTTCTTGCTAGGCTGGTCTTAAATGGACTCCTAAGCTCAGGCAATCCACCCTTCTTGGCCTCCCAGAGTGCTAGGATTATAGGTGTGAGCCACCACGCCTAGCCCCTAATATGTTGATTTTCAATTCAAAATACTAACCACAGGCTTTTTTTTTTCCTCCATGCTTCTCTAGGGTCTTGGTATGCTGACTATCCAGAGGAACAAAAAGGTTGGCCTTAGTAGTAAAGGACAAAGCTAATAGCCAAACATGTCCTGATGGCTGCCCTTGTCCGGCTTTGGCATATTATGTGTTGCCTTATTTCTTGCCTCCTCCACTTGTAAAATGCCTTTTACTTTATGTCTAGGCTAAAGCTAAACTGAATCTATGGTTTTAAATAAATTAAAATCCTAAACTCACTAGCTTAAATGTAAATGAAATACACTAGTTTCCCT